AGAGGGGACCCGGGAGTCCTGGCGCAGAGCAGGGCTTCTGGGGATGCAGTCTGCGGCAGTCCCTTGCTCTGAGCTTCGGGGAGTGATGGCTCTGAGGTTTGGAGGCTTATAGCTCCCGTCGAGGCTGCGGTGTTCCCATAAGGGGATACTTGGTGCAACCGGGACCCCCTCCCCCAAGGCTCCCTTAAGTCCTTATCTCAACCTGAAGCTACCTCCCCTGTGGATTTTCAGGTCTGCTTTGCTGGATTTCCTCTCCCTCTCGGTTCCTATTCAGGACAGGAAACAAGATCCCTTCTTCCCTCTTTCCCCCTTGTCTTGGTACCCCGGGCAGCAGTGTGGTTTTCAGGGCGGGGCAGGGGGAAGACTTTATAGTTAGCTCTCTTAGCTATCCTGGTGAGGCCTCAGAAACGGGGTCCCAGTGGCTGAATTCCCAGCGCTGTGGTGACACTGCGGACTCGCTGCGGTGGGTGCAGAGACTTGCCAGAAGCTGAGGGGCTCAGGAGCAAATCGGTGCTGTTCCGGTTCTCCATCATCCTTCACTGCCGTTTTTTTCTGCTCCGAGGTCTTGGGGCCAGCCACCCCCTCGGGCTCCCAGGCCCCTCGCCGCCCCCAAGCGGTCTCAGTCATCCATCACGGCTGTCAGCCGCCCCCAGCCCCCACCCTTTAGCGGCGCTGCGTCCCCTGTGCACTAGCGCATCTCCAGTGCTTGCTGTCTGCGCTCAGTGCCTTCAAATGCTCCCCTAGGCATTGCTTGACCCTCAGGGCTGAGACTCCCACAGACCTCCCCAGGAGATGGCCCAAGGCCACAAGAACTGAAAGCATGATCTCTCAGACACTAGCAGGTTTAACTCCGAGGTCGTTGATTTTGGATCACAGTCAGGGCCAAGTGGAGGAGTGGGAAGGCTGGGGGCACCAGCATCCCTGGTCCTTTGTCAGTGACACCCCCTTCCCATTCTCCCACGGGACTGAGTCCTATGCAGGGGACAAAACTATTGCTGGGCAGCTCATCCATCTCTCCAGTGACCCAGGGGTCACCTCATCAGGCATTGCTCCCTTGGATGCAGGGGGAGGGGGTTGTACAAGTCTAGTCTGCGGGAGCTCCAGGCATCTTGAAGCAGTGTTCCAGGAGCAAAGGAAAGGGATGTCACTTCCTCCCAGGATCCTCCTCAGATACCTGCACTATGAGACATCCCTGCTCCCCAGAATGGGTTCTGTGGATCGCTCAACACCTGCTTTCCTACCGACCTTCACTGGACCTCTCTGTTTCTTTGGGGTTGCCAAAGGCCTAGTAAAGAGGCACATGCATGCTGGAAGCAGGGTTCTAACTAATAGTTCTTTCCAGTTCTCAGGACTGTTAATTTCTAGACACCCAGTGTAATAGGCCCATCTGGAGACTTTCTTTCTATATATAGACTACAGCACTTGGAATTAGAGTGGTCAGAACCTGGGTCAAGTATTTTGCATCCAGAGTGGGAAGGTCTCTCCTGGACTCTTGGTGAAGGTGGTAGGCGGCACTGAAGACTTCCTGGGTCTGAGCAAAGAAGGATCAAGAGCCCCCGACTCTTGAGTCTAGATTCCCGGAACTGTATGGAAGGATCCGGGTGTTGACCTCAGGGAGAGTTTGATGGCTCCTCTGGGCCAAAAATGATTCCCAAGGATATTTTCCCTGGCATCCAGATCTCCTTTACCTTTGGGGTCTGACGCCCCTTTTCCCTCCCCAAGCTGCCCTGGGGATTCCCTCTAGGTCCAGTCTCTGGCCCCGGGGGAGACTCGTTAGCCTGAGCCTGTTTCCTCCGGGCGAGCTCTGGCCTCGGCAGCTTAATTGAGATCCGATTCAGGCTGAGAGCTCCCAGGGGTGCGCCTCTAGGTGCTCCCTCATCACCCAGACTCCTGGCTCTGGGGAATCAGGACGAGTTTTCCCTTTGCCGTCCTGCTCCTTTGAGAACCAGACGCTCACTCCCCATCCCCCTTAACTAGTGAGCCCAGCATTCCAGGCAGGGGACAAAATCAGCTCTTGGCTGATGAGGCCGGGAGCCTGGCGTCTGGCCCAGGCAGCGGATGGAAAGGCGGGACCTAGGACAAGCCTACCAAGCTGCCCCCTCCCCTGCACTCCTTTCCTGGCCGGGATCGGGCCTGTAGTCTGGCTCTGCGCTGCGCGCTGCCGTTACATAAGCGGCTGCGGGCGCGTGGCCGGCTCAGCGCTGCGCGGTCTGTCCGCGCTGTCGCCATGGAGACCGGTGCCTGGCCTCCTAGTTACGGGGGTCTTAGGCCAGGATGTCCCCCTTCCAGCTGATTCAGCGCCACTCGTTGGGGCAAAGAAGGAAGGCTTGAGAGGGGTGTGAAAGACAGAGGGGAGGGGCTCTTCTGATGGTGGTCTGGGACCTAACAGAGGGTGCATCTAAGAAAGGCACCCAGCTTTACAGAGAAACCCTTAAATCTTGCAGCTAAGGGAAGGACGTGGGATAAGGAGGCCAGGCTGGGTGTGTACCAGGTGTGCTAAGTGGCAGTTGCAATAGTAGCAATGCAAGGGTTGTCGCCATATTTTTTCAGTTGATTCCATAGCATCCTATGTGTTAGACCAAGTTAGTATCCCTTTGCAAGGGGAGAATGACTTGCTCAGGCTGGAGACAGAGCTGGAAAGGCTGGTACTGAAGCTCAGCCCTTTCCTGAACCACTAGAGAATTTTCTCTTACACCCCATTAGCTTTTCTAGACCTGATTATCCTGTGGCAAGAGCAGAAGGCATCTGGTCAACATTTAAAATAGGAGACGGGATCCATCTGACTCTCATATCTCCTGGTTTCTGATCCCAGACATCTTTTCAGATTCTGGGGTCTGAGAGGGAAGCCTTGCAGAATTTTCCTCCTAATATGGTTTCCTGAACATCTATTACATGCTGGCTCTCTCTCATAGGGAGGGTAGGCCTGTTAATCCCAGGAACTTACCCTGGTGAAAGGAGAGAATGGCTGGTGGTCTGGTCAGGAAATCAGGCATTTCTGTCTCAGTGGGCAAGGTGGAGGTGGGTGTCTTTTGGAGCAGGTGCTGCCCCGCCTCCAACTTTCAGACAGGTTGGGATACACCATGCTCTTGAAAGGGGTCCCTGGCTGGGTGACTGAAGAAGGGTTCCAGGAGGCAGGGAGAAGGATGCAGATGTTGGATAGACAAGGACACCAGAAGATGAGGGCTAGGAGATTCAGAGTCTACAGGGCCTCAGCTTCACTTGGAACATGGACAATGGTGATTCTCCCCAGAGTCCAGGAAGATGTCTGCTGCTGGGGCTTCAGCCCTGGTGCTGAAGGAAGTTGGTAGCTGAAACTGTTGAATTATGTCCATGGACATCTCACCACAGAAACTCTGCACCAACAGAGTTTCTCCTTGGGTTGGCGCATTTGGAGGGAGCAATGCCCATGAAAGCAGCTGCACACCACAAGGGCTGGGGGCAGCCATACAAATGTATAGGAAACGTGCCAAGCCAAGGAGATGGCAGTTACCCCTCTTCTGGTGTGCAGCTTCTTTTGTGGGCCTTGCTCCCTTCTTGTGCCCAGGAAGCTTCTGGACCCTCCGACAGATGACCCTTGGCTAGATTCAGCCTCTTCCCCACCCCAAATTCCTCTCTTGCACACCAGTTCATTAAGCTGGAACATCATCCCACCACCCGTTGACCCATGCTAGAAACCCCAGGCATTATCCCTTCCCCCTCGACAGACAGCTGGCACAGCAATGCTTCCATAATGCTTGATGCGTGAGTCTTTCCATTGCCCCATATTGCTTTGACCTAGGTCATTGTCAGCTGTCATCTGGATTATGGAAATGCTCTAGTTGCTGTATTTCTCACCTGAAGCCAGAAGGCTTGCTGCAATATTCAAGTCAGGTCATGACACTCTTGGGCCTGGAACTTCAATGACTGCCCATTGTCCTCTGGATGGAGTCCAAACTCTTCAAGATGGCCTGGCACTTCTTTAAGGCTCACACTACCTTGAGTCATCCCCTCCCAAGCCACTGTTCATCACTGAGCCCCAATATGCCCCTCCTAAGACTCGAGCTAGATCATGCTTCGTTCAGCAAGAACCCATTCTGTTGTTGGCTTCCACATCTGGGGCATCAAACACACTGTTCTGGGTTCTCTCTGCCTGGAACACCCTCCTGCCACCCTCCCAGTCTAGCCCTTACTCATCCTTCAGTTCTCAGCTGACGCGTCACTTCCTCTGGGAAGCCTTCTGTGACCTCTCAGGCTGGGCTGCAGCCTGCGTGCCCTCCGAATCCCTGATGGTTCGTCTCTTTCATAGACTTTGGCAGTTCTGCCTACTCTCTCTTCTCCCCTGGCTTTGGTTTGGGTCTCTAAGGGCAGGGATAGTGTTTTAGGTTGTTGAATTCCTCCTCTGACCATTCTTTTGGCACTTGGTAGAGTGAAGCCGGGGGGGGGGGCAGTATAAGATGCCAAAAGGGTATCCCTGGGAGTTCAGGTTGCAGGGTTCTCTGCTGTCCTCCCTATAAAAAAATCACACATACTAAGGTGGGCTCATTTGTATCCAAGAGGAGCACTCTGAGATTTTTTTTTTTTTTAAACTTATTTTTTGGTTTTTCGAGACAGGGTTTCTCTGTGGCTTTGGAGGCTGTCCTGGAACTAGCTCTTGTAGACCAGGCTGGTCTCGAACTCAAAGAGATCCACCTGCTGAGTGCTGGGATTAAAGGCATGCGCCACCCCACTGCCTGGCCCTTTTTTCTTTTTGAACTCTGAGATTCTTAAGGTGTCGTGGGAGATGAACTAGGATCGGATCTCAAGAACAGAGAAGGACATACATGTTCATCAGGCACTCGGAACAGCCAGTAGGAAATTGGGTTCTTCATCCATGCTGCTAAAACCACGGAAGAAGGCAGCGCAAGCCCAGTTTTCTCCAGCACGTGACCTGAGGCTGTGGGCATTAAAGTGACCACATAGCTATGTGCAGGATGGACAGGGAACAAGCAGCTGGTGTCAGACCTGACTCCTCCTCTTTTCAGGTGATGGCAATCCCAAGGAAAGCAGTCCTTTCATCAACAGCACCGACACAGAGAAGGGAAAAGAGTACGATGGCAAGAACATGGCCCTGTTTGAGGTGGGCTGCTTGGGCTACAGTTAGTCACGCTGGCTCATCAGTGCTCCCTCCCTCCCTCGGGAAGAGTAGACGCCTCTCCATTCCTCCCTCAGGTCCTCCATCTTCCCCGGCCTCCCCAGCCCTCCTTGGTCTTTCCTGGCTTTACCTCATGGCTCCTCTCCTGTCTCACCACTTCCTTCTCCTGTCCCTCTGCTTCCTCTTCCTCTGTCCCCATTGCATCCCAAACTCAGTGGCTTGAACTTTGTCCCCAGCCCTACATGCAGCTCACTCCAGTTGCTGTCCTGAAGTTCCAGCTCCCTGACATTGACCCCTCTCCTCCCTAGGAGGAGATGGACACCAGCCCCATGGTGTCCTCTCTGCTCAGTGGGCTGGCCAACTATACCAACCTGCCCCAGGGAAGTAGAGAGCACGAAGAGGCAGAGAACAATGAGGGTGGAAAAAAGAAGCCGGTGCAGGTGGGGCCTTGGGGAGAAGGGATGGGAGAGGGAGTGTGGGAGAGGAAAATGGGCCTGGATGGAGGAGGGAATGGTTTGATAGAGAAGAAGGGGGAGGTGGTGGCTATGGGGGAGGGGAGGGGATGAGGTGAATGAGGAGGCTGGTAGAGGGGGGGGAAGGATGTAAGAAACGGGAAGAGTGATGAAGGGAGGGAAAGGCAAGCAGGGAGAGGCAGGGAAGGAGCATGGAGGAGGCGTGGGCTCTTGGTGACGAGCAGAGGGCATAGAGACTGACGCTGGCCTCTCTGGCAGGCCCCACGCATGGGTACTTTCATGGGTGTGTACCTCCCGTGCCTGCAGAATATCTTTGGCGTCATCCTCTTCCTGCGGCTCACTTGGGTGGTGGGCATTGCAGGCATCATGGAATCCTTCTGTATGGTCTTCATCTGCTGCTCCTGTGTGAGTGACCCCCTCCTCTGCTCAGTGAAGACAGCTGGGGTTTGGTCCAAGCCTGGGGGTGGGTGGTGGGAAGCAAGCATGGGACCTGAGCTTTTTATAGGAGTCACTACTTATGATTTTTGAGAATAAATTAGGCTTGACCGGTCCTTCCTGAATCCCATAGGCTTCTCTCTGATGACTGCCAACGAGGCTTCACCTGGATCTGTGTGTGTATGTTCATGTACTTACACAACTACTGCAGATTCACTGATGAAAATAATAAATGCAGAGAAGAAAACAAAATTCAACATAATTGCATAAGAGTTAACATTTTGGAAGGTCCCTCCCTACTCACAAAAAAAAAATGAGATTATGTCTCACAGAGAACTTTGCAACTAGATTCTTCCTGTCTACATTGAAAAAAACTACAATTTCTATTGAACACCAAACTCACATTCTTGTGTCTTCACATATAACCTTGAGACCACTCTGCTTGTAAAGATGTAGATGTTGAAGCTATGCCTCCCATTTTATATATGCAAATGCCGAGGCTTGAGAAGTGAATTGTCTTTGGTCATAAGTTACCTGGGGGCCAAACTGGGGCGAGCGGAGTTCTCTGGCATGGTAGTTCCTCCCGTCTTCGTGGTAAATAAGAGGGTATTTTTTTGAGAAGGGCTTGGCATGAATAGCAGTTGGAACAGACCCAGAGAGAAGCTCAGGAGAGGAGAGCCTGTGGGTTTGGCTGTTGGCTGTTGGGTATATTGGCTTGGCCACCAGCCAGGCCACTGCAGCCCCCAGCGCCACCATTCTGATGATCTCTTTCCTACAGACAATGCTCACAGCCATTTCCATGAGCGCGATTGCAACCAATGGTGTTGTGCCTGGTATGTGACGGGGGGCCTTTGCAGAGTGGGGGAGGGCCAGGGACCTGATGGTTGATAGGGGACACAGGGGGCCAGGCTTTGTGGGCCCTCGGGACCCAAGACCCAGGACAGTATGAGGTAGGCAGGGGTGAGCTTATTGGGGTTAGGGAAGGAGGCAGATATTGGTGTTGAATAGGGCAGTGATAACCTTCTCCTCCACTCAGCCAAAAACCCTCTTCTCTACCATCCTATTTTCCGAGCCATGACCCCCTTACAGAGGTAATTAGCAACATGGTAATAATTACTGCTGCAAACTCCATGCGGAGTGGTTGCCTGGATCTCCTGTAGCCTCCTTTCTGGGGCTACAGCCCTAGGTCTAGAGAAACCTGCTTTTGCCCTCTGTCCCTAAGCCCTGCTCAACACAGAGCTGTCCAGGGCCCTCTGATCCTCTTGCTGATTTTAGTTTTTTTCTGCAGCTGGTGGCTCCTACTACATGATTTCCAGGTCTCTGGGCCCAGAGTTTGGGGGTGCCGTGGGCCTCTGCTTCTACCTGGGCACTACCTTTGCTGGGGCTATGTACATCCTGGGCACCATCGAGATCCTGCTGGTGAGAGGGGGAGAGGGGGAGGCGTGGGGTCCCAGGCTGTCAGCCACTTAACTAGTGTTCTCTGAACACCTGCTATAGGCCAGGCCACTGCTTAAGGCCAAAGAGAAGTCGGATGTGGTCTGTCTCGAAAGAGTCCCCAGTCTGGCTAGGGAGACAAGATACAATAATTATGTAACACAAACAGCTGTGGTTTATCAGGCACCCACTGAGTTCTCAGCATAGCTCCAAGTGCTTTACAGTCATTATCTCAAATCCTTAGAGGTTTAAGTATTATGATGGCATTTTACAAATGAGAAGTTCCAAAAGGCAGATAGCTCACTGGTTCAAGGTCACTCAGCTATGGGCAAGCTGGCAGAGGTGGGTTGGTAAGAGTTAAAATAACAGCTGGAATAATGAGAGCCTGCCACGTTCCAGGGACGGTGCAGAGCCCTCTTTGGATGTTAGTTGCAGAGCCCTGATAGATGGTTCTTAGACTGTAAAAGAGAACCATGAGGGACCCATGTAGAGAGATCCGTTAGGAGGAGTGATTGATGGGGAGACACTAGGTGTCTGGGCTGTGTCTGAAGGACAGGGCAGATGCCTTAGGCCTCCTGTTCTTTCTGTTTGGGTGGGTGCATATGAGGGACCCTTGGTTTAAGGAAAGGGGTGCAGCTTAGTTGCTTAGAATGCTTAGAAAATGGTGGCTTTGCTTCTCAGCACCATATAAACTCTCTACACCTGGGAGGTGGAGGCAGGAGGATAATAAATATGAGATTGCCCTCAGGGCACAGTGAGTTTGAAGCCTGTCAGGGTTGCAAGAGATCTTGTCAAATGAAAGGAGAAGAGAAAGTGGAGTAAGCGTTCCCACTCCCCTGTCCTTCACAAGCCCTAAGATTTTAATGAATCTCTCATGTTGTAGAAGATGGCCATTTTACAGATGAGGAGGGCCAGGTCAGAGAGTCTCAGGAACATGGTGAGGCATGTGAGCCTTCATCCACCTGGCTTCCAGGGTCTGTGCTTGTCCACTGTCTCCCAAGGTCTTAGGGAACCAAAATTAACAGAGCCAGAGCTTCTGCTTTGGGGGCAGGAGAGAAGAAATCAGGAATTGGGGGGCCTGGGGGGCACACTGGTGTGAGCCCTGTGAGCCTTTGTGACTCACAGCATTTCTAGATGCGTTATCAAACAGTTCTGCCCACTGCCCAACACTGGAACAATATCAAAGTAAGAAAGAAAATGACTCAGTGAAAATCACATTTTAGTGTGTATCTCTCACATTTCTGTTCTTCTATATGATACTTTGTTCTGTTTTTGTAAAACACAACTCCACTTAGAAATATTTCCTTAGGAACCCCCAACTCCCTTTATTTATAAATAAAAAGTAACTTAAGCAAATATAAGCATTTTAAGTGTAATGTAGACATTTTAGAAAATATGAATATATAAAACATCACATTTTAATTATTCAACAAAAGCTTCTGTTGTCTTTTTTTTTTACTGTTGTTTTCTTTCCTTTCCTTTTTTTGAGACAAGTTTTCTCTGTGTAGCCCTGGCTGTCCTGGAGCTCACTCTGTAGACCATGTTGGCCTCGAACTCAGAGGTATACCTGCCTCTTCCTCCCAACTGCTGGGATTAAAGGTGTGGACCACACCCAGCCTCAGGTTTCATAAGCCAGGGTCTCCTCATGGTCCAGGCTTGCTCAGTATTGGTGATTCTCCTTCCTCAGCCTCCTGAGTGCTTGGATTACAGACATGCCTGATACCATTGATAGTTGGATATCCCTACAAACACATCTACAATAACACAAACACAATGAGTAAATATTTCCACATATAAATTTATAAATATGAGATCATAAGATCCATTATTTTTTAAAAACTTGACCTTATTCACCCAATGCACTACACATAGTTTTAAAACTCTTGAAATGAAGTCTTGCTATGTAGCTCAGGCTGGTTTCAAATTCTCCTGCCTTAGCATTCCATAGTTTGGGGTTATAAATCTTTACCACCGTGCCCACCATGGATAGTTTTTTAGTCCGTATAAATTCATGCCTTTTCTGCCCTTACTGCTGGGGATTGAACCCAGGGCTTGTGTTCATTTGAATGTATTTTCCATCACTGAGCCATGCTACAGGCCCATGCCATCTTTTAAAATAGCTTTGTAGTTTAAATAGAAATATCAGAATTTATTTACCTACCCTCTGGGGATAAACACCTCTTTTTTCCACCTTTATATCATAAATAATAAAAGTAATATATAGTTAATAGTTATAATAAGTAACAGCAGTGAAGAAGCTTTCCCAGCATCACATTACAGGAAAGCTCACACCGTCTTTAGCCAGTACATTGTTGATGGATGCCATTCCCCATCTTGGAGTGGGGTGAGTCTCTGCTGGCCTCTCCTGGGTCACCTGTCTGACTTCCTTTGCTCCTTTTCTGCAGGCTTATCTCTTCCCAGCCATGGCCATCTTCAAGGCAGAAGATGCCAGTGGGGAGGCAGCGGCCATGTTGAACAATATGCGGGTATACGGCACCTGTGTGCTTACCTGCATGGCCACCGTTGTCTTTGTGGGTGTCAAGTACGTCAACAAGTTTGCCCTGGTTTTCCTGGGTTGTGTCATCCTCTCCATCCTGGCCATCTATGCAGGGGTCATCAAGTCTGCCTTCGACCCACCCAACTTCCCGTGAGTGCTGTTTTTTGAGTCTACAGTATTGTGGTCCTCACCGGCTCAGCTCAGGTCTGCATAGTAAGAGTCTCTACCAGGTCCCCTCTCTCTTCACTCTCAGAACTGGAAGTGTGTGGGTTGGGAGCAACATCCCCTGGAAGGGTAAATGTTTCCTATTTAGGGAAGTTTATCCAGGATGGGATGACATTTTTGGAGGTGGGAAGAAGTTCCCTTGAGTGTGTCACCTGCTTGCTGGTAGGGACTTGGAAACGTAAAAAGAAATGGCTTGTAAAAGGAATACACCCTGTGCGGTAGGGAAACTTGTGATGGGTCAACCTCCTGGAATGGACATTCTTAGTTTTTAGCACCTTTTCCAGGATGGGAAAGAACCCAGAAGAGAGAGTCCAGGGTTCAGGTCCCCTTGGTTCTCTTGCTCCTTTAGCAGAGTCCCCTCTATCAGTGCAGAGGACAGGGCTCAAAGGCTGCTGTCCACGGTGCTGAACACAACAGCGCCTCCAGGCTAGTTCTCCATCTGTCTGCACAGTAGACTCGCTTGGGAAACGTTATAGAAACTCCCATGGGCACACTCGAGACAGAACCAGAATCTCTGGATGTGGAACCCCAAAATCTGTGTCTTTAAAACTCCCAGTGGCTCTGCTGTGAAACCAGGGAGAGGTCCTGTTCCTTCCACCTCCCTTGCTTGCTTTTCTCCCTAGGATCTGTCTCTTGGGGAACCGCACGCTGTCTCGCCATGGCTTTGATGTCTGTGCCAAGCTGGCTTGGGAAGGAAATGAGACAGTGACCACACAGCTCTGGGGCCTTTTCTGTTCCTCTCGCTTCCTCAACGCCACCTGTGATGAGTACTTCACCAGAAACAATGTCACAGAGATCCAAGGCATTCCTGGTGCAGCCAGTGGCCTCATTAAAGGTAGGTGGGGAAGAGAAGGTGCTGGCATCTATGGAGTGCTTCAGGGGTTGCGGGTTAAGTTGTCAGGATTAGGGGCATTCCTTGGGATTCAGTTCCATTCAGTCAGCTTCAGTTAAGCATCTTGTGTAGACCAGGTTCTGTCCTAAGTATCATGGAGAGGTAGAGGTGAAAGAATGGGATGCACTTTTCACTGTTATTAAGAAGGAAAGCCAGTCTAATAAGCATTTCTCTACCTACTTAATGCCGTGCTAAAGCACTGGGACCACAACATACACAGTCTCAGTACTTGGTCTTAGAGATTCAGCGACAGATAGATGTGTTAATAGATTATGATCCAGAGTTGTATATTCATTAAGCAGAGAACCATGAAGAGACACAGCATTCATATGTATGTATCAGGTGACAAGAACAGGGCTTCCTTCCTGCACTTGCCAAGGGAAGCTTTGGAGGACAAGCAAGAGAAGAAAGTGGGAGAGAGAGAGAGAGAGAGAGAGAGAGAGAGAGAGAGAGAGAGAGAGAGGGAGGGAATTACAAATCAAAGAACAGACTACTTAATGTGTGTGGCCATGAGCATCATAGCCTGTCCTTTTGACCACACCCTGGAAGCCTTGCTGAGGAGTTTGGGTTATGTGCTGAAGGCAGTGGGGGTGCAGGTGCTGTGAGCCCAGGAGAAAGATGACTTCTTTCTGAGAAACAGTGATGTTTTCCGTGATAATGGAGTAGGGGTTCTCAACTAGAGCTACTCTTCTGCCCTGGAGGTGTTTGACCATGTCTGTGTGTGAATGCGTGTGCACGTGAGTACACACACACACACACACACACAGAATTTTATTTTGCATGTTTATATGTGTGTATACATGCATGCCATGTGCACATAGAGGTCATAGGACGTCTTGTTGGAGTCTGTTCCCTCCTTCCACCATGAGGGTCTCTGGAATTGAACCCAGATTATCACTGAGCCATCTTGCTGGTCCCTGGAGATAGTTTTTTGGTCATCAAAACTAGAGGAATTGGGGCTAGATAGATGGCTGAAAGGTGAAGAGAACTTGCGGCTCTTCCAGAGGACCTAGGTTTGATTCCTGCACCCATATAGTGGCTCACAACCATCTGTAACTCAGTTCCAGGGATCTGATGCAGGCACACATGAGGCTCACAGACTTGCATGAAGATAAAACCCCCAAGCACATAAACCATGAGAAACACTAGAGGGATGCTGCTAACATTCAGTGTATAGATGACAGGTTTGTGCCTAACCCCCTATCGTGTTGTTTGCTAACCCCCATAGCAGATTCATTTACCTCAACTGCCACTGGTGTGGGGTGGAGGAGCCCTGGAGCGGGGTGCAAAGGCTTGTTTGAGAAATATTAACGAGTGGTGATGGGCAGAAGTTGAGACACTTTGAAGCAGAAGCAGCTGAGAGCAATGCCAAGGCGTTTGAATTGGTTGAGGCTGGTGCCACTGCCAAGAGGAGAGATGCAGGGATGAGTTAGGGCTTGAGGGCTGATGAGTTCAATTGGGGACAGTCAGGCTTGGAGAGAATTTTCTGTGTCTGTCCCATGAGATTGGGCTATGTAAGGGCACAGACTCGGTCTCTTTCAGCTTTGGAATCTCTGTGCACACCTGGCACAAAGCAGGAGTTTGGGAAATGGTGGGTGTGAAAGGCCAGTTGTGGGAATGGGATTCGGTTGGTCTTAACTCTTTGCTCCCCACCTCTCCTGGTTTAAGCTCTGTCCCCCAACTCCTGGTCATCTTCCTGACTGTCTCATATTCCCACAGAGAACCTGTGGAGTTCCTACCTGACCAAGGGGGTGATCGTGGAGAGGCGTGGCATGCCCTCAGTGGGCCTGACGGACGGCACCCCCGTGGACATGGACCACCCCTATGTCTTCAGTGACATGACCTCTTACTTCACACTGCTTGTTGGCATCTACTTCCCGTCAGTCACAGGTGAGCCAGAGCTTGGAAAGGGAGGCCTGTGCCTGGGAGACAAGACTAACGGCTCACCTAAGCAGTAGCTAATCCTTGTTCGGGACCTATGGGAGCGAGGAAGGAGTCAGGATCAATCAACCACAGGAGGTGGTACTGTGGATGGCGTGGAGGTTGCCACCTTCTCTGGTGGCTCAGGATGGGAGCCTGTGTGGCAAGGCGAGGTACCAGGCTCCTAACTCCAATATGTGTCTTTTCCTCCATGGTCCTGGCTTCTATCTGAACTGCTCTTTGACCTCCAGGAATCATGGCTGGCTCAAACCGGTCTGGAGACCTGCGGGACGCCCAGAAGTCCATCCCTACTGGAACCATTCTGGCCATTGCCACCACTTCTGCTGTCTGTATCCTCATAGCTGGGTGTGTCCTCCCCGGGTGTGTGTGGGAGGTGGTACTGTGGATGGCGTGGAGGTTGCCACCTTCTCTGGTGGCTCAGGATGGGTGGGTGGTAGGGCATCACCATGCTAGATTCTCCTTCATTCTCTGTCTTAGACATCAGCTCTGTTGTTCTATTCGGGGCCTGCATTGAGGGGGTCGTCCTGCGGGACAAGTAAGTGAAGGAAGGGGGTGGGTCTTATCCTGGGGGAGGGGTGGGCTTAGGAAGAAACAGACCTGGTAGGATGGTGGGGACCAGTGAGAGACCACAATACTTGTGATCTACTCATTTTCTTGTTACTGAATGTTTATCTTGTCAGTTAAGCTTTAAGAAGCTCAAAAGATGTCTCCTTTGGTTTGGGATGTTGATATATTTATTTAAGATCTGTTCATTCATTCATTCATGGATTCATTCACCTAACACTTCCATGTATTGTTCACTGCCTTAAACGTTCTGAGGGAGGGAAGCAAAGAAAGAGTCACACAGATTTTTTTTTTTAAACAGGGCTACAGAGAGCACACACGGGGTTCAGTGTGACCCAGTCAAGTGAACACATTAATGAATACATTAACACATTAACAAATTCATTAATGAATACTTTACTGCTAGTTTTGGGGTAGTTTGGCCTCCATTTATCCCCTTTAATCATAGACCTCCCACGAGAATGCCAGGACCCAGCAATCCCTTCTCCTCAGCTCTTCACCTGGCATTTGAAGGGCTTCAGCAGACACCCTCTGAGGAAGGAGGGCTTCAGCAGACACCCTCTGAGGAAGGGTTTTTGTACATTGTAATTTGTCCTGCAGCAACCACAGATCAAAAGCATTTGACTAAAACTCAGTTTTTGTAGACTTAAAAAGACTATTATTACTTATGTGCATAGGTGTTTTGCCTGCATAAGGGTGTCGGGTCCCCTGGAACTGGAGTTACAGACAGTTGTGAGCTGCCATGTGGGTGCTGGGAACTGAACCTGGGTCCCCTGGAAGCACAGCCAGTGTAGACTTTTCATGGTTATGTTCCCTAAACAATACAGCATGGCAGTGAAGTCCACAGCACTTCAGTGTGTTTGGGGTTGTAAGTCACTAGACATGATTCTGAATCTTCCGGAAACTGTGTGCCTGCTGGTGGGTACTGAATCACTTCCAGAAGGTCTGTGCACCACAGAATCTGGCATTTTGGGGGCAGGGGTCCACCCCACACAGATTCTGAGTGATGTTTGCCTTAGTCATCCTTCCCACTGTCTTTAAATTTTTATTTATTGCCAGTTGTGGTGGCACACACCTTTAATCCCAGCACTTGGGAGGCAGAGGCAGGCAGATCTCTGTGAGTTCGAGGCCAGCCTGGTGTACAGAGTGAGTTCCAGGACATCCAGGGTTGTGCAAAGAGACCCTGCCTCAAAAAATGTTTATTATTATCTGAGTGTGTGTGTGTGTGTGTGTGCGCGCGCGCGCGTGCGCGCACGCGTGCAGGTGCGTGTGTGTCATGGCACATGGATGGAGGTCAGAAGATAACTTCCAAGAGTTGGTTCTCTCCTTCCTCTGTAGATTTTAGGGATCAAACTCAGGTGTGAAAAAATTGCTTCTATGGCTGTTAGTTTTTGAGTAGCTTGATCTCCATGCATCTCATTTAATCATAGACCTCTCACGAGGCTGCCCAAGGGTCCAGCAGTCCCTGGTGTTTGAAGCATCTCAGCAACGCCCCTTAGGAAGGCAGCATCTCCCATCTTTCTCTCCTCCTCCTCTGCCTCCCTTCTCCTCCCCTTTCCTTTTCTTTCTTTCACCTTTTAAAAATATTTGTTTTTGCTGGGCAGTGGTGGCACACACTTTTTTTTTTTTGAGACAGGGTTTCTCTGTGACTTTGGAGGCTGTCCTAGAACTGGCTCTTGTAGCAGCGCACATCTTTTAATTCCAGCACTCGGGAGGCAGAGGCAGGCGGATCTCTGTGAGTTCAAGACCAGCCTGGTCTACATAGTGAGTTCCAGGACAGCCTCCAGAGCCACAGAGAAACCCTGCCTCGAAAAAAAATTGTTTTTATTTAATGTGCACGAGTGTTTACCTGAATGTATGTCTGTATACCACATGCATGCCTGGTGTCCATGGAGGCCAGAAGTTGAGTGCTGGATCCTCGGGGACTGGAGTTGCAGGCAGTTGTGAACTGTCATACGGGAGCTGGGAACTGAACCCAGGTCCTCTGGAAGGGTAACCAGTGCTCTTAACAGCTGAGCCATCTAGTTCACCCCATCCCCTCTTTTGAAGGGGAGGGTCTTTGCTACACTGCTTAGGCTGCTCTGGAATTCCTGGACTCAAGAAGTTCTCCTGCCTCAGTCTTACGCATGGCTGGGACTGGGGGCACATGCCACCACATTAATAGCATTGATATAAAATTCTTTCTTTTTATTTATTTATTTTTTTTGAGACAGGGTTTCTCTGTGTGGCCCTGGCTGTCCTGGAATTTACTCTTTAGACCAGGCTGGTCTTGAACTCAGATCTGCCTGCCTCTGTCTCCGGAGTGCTGGGCTTAAAAGTGTATGTCACCATGCCCAGCCTGATTTTTTCTATTGTTTAAACACTAATTCATTGTATGAATGTTTGTGTGTACACATGTGTGCATGTCTGTGCTGTTAGTGCTCATGTGGATGCCAGAAGGGAACTTGTGGGGTCAGTTCTCTCCTCCCACATGGGTCATGGGATGTGGCAAGCGTCCTTCCCAGATACGCCACCTTGCAGACCCTTTCCCTTTTGTTCTGACACCAGCAGCACACAGTGAAGCCAGAGGCCCCATTTTTCACATGGAGATGCCAATTGATTTTCTTAGGATCACCATGTTAACAATTGATTGTGTATTAAAATCATATTCCTACCCTGTTCTGGGCAGTTCTCACATTCTGTCTCCTATTCTCACACCATTTGTGTGAGGTAGGCACATGGAGATTCTCAGCAGAGGAGGGTCAGTGATGTCCTCAAGGTCACATAGACAGGAGATACCAACCACACTTGGTCTTATATCTGCTTTTGACCACTGTGAAGCCTGGCCCTGTAGTCAGCGTCCTGCTGGGCATGGCACTGGTCTGGGTCAAGCCACTCTGGGGTCCCGGGGGCATTGCTCACCCAGTGTCTCTGCCTCTTACTGTCTCTTTCCAGGTTTGGGGAAGCTGTGAATGGCAACCTGGTGGTGGGCACCTTGGCCTGGCCTTCTCCTTGGGTCATTGTCATCGGCTCTTTCTTCTCTACCTGTGGGGCTGGACTACAGAGCCTCACAGGGGCCCCACGCCTGCTCCAGGCCATCTCCAGGGATGGCATAGTGCCCTTCTTACAGGTCAGTGTGGAAGAGCCACCCCACAAAGTACATTATGATACAATGAACCGGGGCCACTACTATCCTTGAGCTCTCTCCTAGGTACTGCCCCAAAGGCCCATATTCAGGATTTGGCCTGAGTTCTGTGCCATCTCTGAACACTGTCTGCTCTTAAAGGAAAATGGATGGCTCTTCTCCAGCCTTGGGGGGCAGTTGGGGACTTTGAGAGCCAGCAACAGGCTTAGAAAAGGCTGTATTTTTCTGTGGTTCTTAAGAAACAAATTGGCCGGGCATTGGTGGCGCACACCTTTAATCCCAGCACTCGGGAGGCAGAGGCAGGAGGATCTCTGTGAGTTCGAGGCTAGCCTGGTCTACAGAGTGGGTTCCAGGACAGCCTCCAAAACAATACAGAGAAATCCTGTCTCAAAAACCCAAAAAAAAAAAAAAAAAACCTGTGTCAAAAAACCAAAAAAAAAAAAAAAACCAAGAAAAAAGAAACACAAAACAAAAACAAATTACAGAGCAAACAGACACATCTCTCCCGTTTCTCAAGAGCCTCTTTCCCTTTGAGGGTCATTTCAGGATTATTGCAGGAGGATAGCAGTAGGGTAGGAAAGAACAGAGAGCTGGCTGTTTCCTTGGGTTTCCTAGAAGAAGCAGAATACAGTCACCTCTCCTTACCCCCTCACTGGTTATGAGCCCTGCCTCGATTCCCCTGGTCCCCAAGACTGAAGGCTTCAGTCCCCTGTGATGGCTGCTCTGTTCCCAGGTCTTTGGCCATGGCAAAGCCAATGGAGAGCCAACCTGGGCCCTGCTGCTGACTGCCTGCATCTGTGAGATTGGCATCCTCATCGCCTCCCTGGACGAGGTCGCCCCCATCCTTTCCATGTGCGTACTAGGCCTGGGACCCACCCATTGGCCCCATGAACCTTTCTTCCTAGGGCTCTCCACCATCATCTTAATACGTCCAGAAAGTTCCCCAGTGGCTGCAGAAGCCCATCTCTGTCATACAGACTTTTCCCTCACACACATCAGGGTGTGCTGTGAGGTTTGGCTTTTCAATGTGACTTGACCCTTGACGAGCCTCTCTTCTCCTTACTTCTCTTCCTCTACGTCCTCTTCTCTCTGCGAGTCTTGGTTTCTCTTTCTGAGCATCTTCTCCCTGCATCCGCCTCTCTCTCTCCCTGCATCCGCCTCTCTCTCTCCCTGCCTCACCTGGACCATTTTGCATTCCAGGTTCTTCCTCATGTGCTACATGTTTGTGAACTTGGCGTGTGCGGTGCAGACGCTGCTGAGGACGCCCAACTGGAGGCCACGCTTTCGATATTACCACTGGTGGGTGCCCATTTCCCCGCCACTTCCACAGAGCCATTTCTTATCAGACCTGAGGTCCTCAGGCAGGTCGTCTCCTCTCCAGCTTTGGCATTCAGATAGCTCAAGGATGGTCGTAGGGAGGGTCTTATGATTGCAGTCAGAGACAGCCTCACTGACCATCTCTTCTCTGTCTACAAAGCTCAACCTCTTACACTATAGTGTGGAGGTTAGAGTCAGATGGACTCAAATTCACAGCCTGACTCTCCACTTCCTGCCTGTGAGAGCTTGGACTGATGATGGAGACTCTTTGGACCTCAGTTTCCTCAGCTGGGAAATGGGCAAAATAGCCACACTCCCTCCTGGGTTTCTGGTGAGCATGTTGGCAAGTGATGCAGAGGACTCTCCTCTCAGGGGGCTAAGCTCTTCTTACCATGTGACTCTGTGGCTTTTCTTCTGTGACAGGCAGGACCATGCTAGTCCCACAAAGGGACAGTTGAGTTCACAGCAGGTGACTGGCCCGTGGCCACCCATAAGACTATAATAGATTTCCTTTTCTTTTTTAAGACAGGGTTTCTTTGTGTAGCTCTGGCTGTCCTGGAACTAGCTCTGGAGATCAGGCTGGCCTCGAACTCATAGAGATCCACCTGCCTCTGTCTCCAGAGTGCTAGGATTAAAGGTGTACGTCATCACCCAGCAGGATAATGTACTTTCATGGAAGCCACCTGCTTTTGGTCTTAGGGCTCCTCTTGGCCTTTTTCTGGAAAGTTCTGCTTCCAGTATTTACGGACTGCTGTCTCCGAAACCATATGAACCCATCTACTTGAAGCTGTCTGGCAGGGCTTAAGGGACAGAGACTAGATGGGGTAGTGACTCTGGAGTCAGGTGGGGCCTGGAGCAGTGTCCTGTCTATAGCTACTTGTTTATTTAGAAAGCCCCATGTCTGCATGGTGCTCAGGGTGACAACAGTGTGGCATTTAAATCTAGTTGCCCATGTCTTGTCCAGGCCTTGCCTGCCACCCTACTCTTGCTGCCTAAGTCTGGGTATCACCATCAGCCCTGTAAAGGGTTCAGGGACTGGGTTCTCTTCATTTTCCAGGACTCTCTCCTTCCTGGGCATGAGCCTCTGCCTGGCCCTCATGTTCATTTGCTCCTGGTATTACGCACTGGTAGCCATGCTCATCGCCGGGCTCATCTATAAGTACATCGAGTACCGGGGGTAAGTGCCAGGAGGGTAGACAGGATGAGGGCTGACTGCATGATGGTCCAAGGCTGGAGTTAAGGGAAGGGGAGATATTGGGTAGGTTTGGAGATGAGGCTGATGATGCCTTGAGAAACATGCAAGAGAGCATCTAGATTTAGGAGTGATTTCAAAGAGATGGATGACAGCCTAATTCAGGAGGCACAAGCAACATGGGAGAGATGGCTGTGCCCTGGAACAACCAGATATGTGGGATGTTTTCCCCTGCCACCCTGGTTTCCTGGACTCATGTGATCCCCTTCCTGGTCCCCAGGGCAGAGAAGGAGTGGGGCGATGGGATCCGGGGCCTGTCTCTCAGTGCTGCTCGCTATGCTCTCTTGCGTCTGGAGGAAGGACCTCCGCACACCAAGAACTGGAGGTGAGTGGTGAGGGCACCTGGGGAGGGTTCAGGGTAGGGATGGCAAGGGATCAGGGACCCAATTTATCCCTCTGATTGTGGCTGTGTGGTACCTTTCTCCAATCCTGTCTCGCCTGACCCCTCCTATAACACTATGATAAACTGAGTCCCAGACATTTGTTCTCCAAATGTATTCACCATGTGTTTGTCTATTTGATCATTCCGTTACATGTGAAAAAAAATCCTCAAACTCATGTTGTAAGGCCAACTTGCTCCCTAGCTCTGGGGGTACTGCCAGCTCACAGATCTGTGGAGATGCACAGAGAGACAGAGACAACACTGTTGAGTCAGCTCTCTTGCTTTGAGAGTGATAGGGTCACGTAGGAGTCTCCAGACTAATGACAATGTTTCTATTGAAGATGAGGGGTCATAGGGCTTGTGGAATCTTCCCCTTCTGCCCTTAGGTCAGGTACTTCCTAAGTGGCTACTGTACACACCCTGCTTGACATGTGTCCCCTGGTTCCACCAAGGGTCAGGATGGAAGTCTAAATAATGGACATGTTAATAACCTGGGGCTGCCATCACTGGACTTGACAATGTCTGTAACTTTTCAAGTGGTCAGCCCAGGGTCCAGCCTAGGACAGGTACTTGCTTTGCGCACTCTATGGGTGGTGGAGATCTGGAGGAACATGATGCTGACTGTATAGAGAAATGATGGGTGAATGGCCGGAAGGATGATGGATAAGCATACGCACATACGGGAGTCTATCCGGGTGAATAGATGGATGTGTGAATGGATGGCGGGTGGGTGGATGTGTGGGCGATTGGTAGGTAAATTCATCTGGATACTGCTGATGACTGAAGGCTGAAGGCTGAAGGCTGAAATGGATGAGTGGGTGGCTGGCTGGCTGGATGGGGGAGGAGAGATGGGTGGGTAGGTGGATGGATGGATGGATGGATGGATGGAGAGATGAAGGAGATGGTTGGAGGGCTGGTTGCTCAAGGAAATGGTTGCTGTGGCCCAGCAGGTTATGGCTGATGGGGCCCAGGCGTGGGGGCATATGGGTAAACTGATGTCTGTCGTGTGGTGGGTGTGGTGGTGGCGGTGGGTCGTTGGGAGGTGGGCGAATCACGTGACCCTTCACCCTCTTCAGGCCCCAGCTCCTGGTGCTGGTGCGTGTGGACCAGGACCAAAACGTAGTACATCCCCAGCTGCTCTCCTTGACCTCCCAGCTCAAAGCAGGGAAGGGCCTGACCATCGTGGGCTCTGTCCTCGAGGGCACCTTTCTGGACAACCACCCTCAGGCTCAGCGGGCAGAGGAGGTGAGCAGAAGCCGGGTAGGGTGGGAAGCCAGGGTCTAAAGCCAGTCTTTGCCCTGCTGTACTTGTGTTCAGTACACCTTTGGGATCTCAGGCCTCTCAGGAGTTTGTCTTCCCTTTAGAAGAGGAGCCTGAGGGTCAGGGGATTAAGCAAGTGCCTGGGAATTCCACCCACAGAAGCTGGCTCAGTGGATGAAGCTTGCTGCAAAAAACACAGGACCCATGCAAAAGCCAGGCACTGGGGATGCACATCTGGAACACTGAGGGTGGTGGTGGGGGGGAAGGGGACCCTGGAGATCATTGAACAGCAAGGTTAGCCAATCTGTGAGCTGCATGTTTAATGAGCAGCTGGTTAAAGGGGGCAGCTGATATTGACCTCTGACCTCTACACCTGTGTGTGTGCACACACAACTCAGCCTACAGAACCAAAGGCTGATAGAGCCAGAAGGGCCCATTTCATGGATAGGGAAACTGAGGCTTAGAGAACAGGTTACCTCAAGTCAGAGACTGTTCTTCTTGCTAGAGGGGAAAATCTTTCAAGGCATTTTAAAATTCAAGCAAAACAAAAACCAACCAACCAATCAAAAAAAATTAAACAAAACAAAAACAAATGGAAAGATCTAGGAGGAAGCTAAGGCCCAGAGAGAGCTGGCAGCTTTCTGAAGTCACAAGGCTGGATGGAAGTCTAGCCAGGATTTGCACATGCCCCTGGCTCTGGGTCACCTGCTTTTGTCAGATCCGCAAAGTAACACACAGAGCCATTGTAAATGGGGCAGCTGAGTGGGCAGGAACTGTACGTTACGAGAAGTTTCTAGAACCCAAGTGGGCAGAGGAGGAAGTGGGCTCTACCTAAGACGCAGGCCTGTCTTCCCTCAGGGTTGTAGCTGGGAGTAGAGAGAGAAAAGGGGGCCCAAGGGAGGCAAGGTGAGATGGGGAGGGGCACCCCTAATGGCTTGTGACAGTTGCTGTTTCTGCCTCACTGAGCCGTTCACAACAGTCTATCAAGATTCAGGGCTGGAGGCCCCAACTGGTCAGGACAACTCAATGTGGACTGGCCCAGAGCATGCTGGGTACCAGACACTAAGCTAGGTATAGGGCAGAGCAAGACCACAGGTCACAGGCCACAGATGGAAGGCTGCAAACCTGTTCGGCGCTGTTGAGTGCTGCGCTGGGTTAATAAGGGCAGAGCAATGCGACACATTAGGCCTATGATACAGGGCAGTGTCCTGAGCCCTTTCACGAATCAAGTTGTGTAATTGTCCCGATTCCCACAGGACGATAAGAGTAGAGGTTAGGTGACTTGTGTGAGGCGACAGCCAGGAGGTGGCAGAGATGGGAATTAGCCACTATTTGTTAGACATCAGGTCAGTGGTTGAGGGCAGAGTGGTTGAAATGAGTCTCCTAGCTCTTGAATCGTCACTCACATTAGCAGCTTGTCCTTAAGCGAGTCTTAATTTCTCTGAGCCTCGATTTCCTCACTGATAAAACGGGAGTAGTGAGAATCCTATCAGTGCAGATTAAATGTGCACTGACAATGCCTATGGTTTTTGTTAAAACAAATCACTGCATTGTGTGGTCATTCGGAACAGCCTGGCTTAACTGTGGTGTAGATGGAGGGTGGTCTCTGGGGAGGATGGCATTTGAGACCAGGGAGGCACCTGGGATGGAGGTGGAGAGTGTGTTGAGCAAAGGACAAGGTAGAGTAACAGCAGGGGTGGGGAGGAGGGGTGGGTCATCCCTGACGATCAGGAACAGGGACTATAGGTGATGGGTGCCAGTGTGGGTCCTAGAGGCAGATAAGATCATAGCTGAGGTTCAGGAAGACGGGATGGATGCAGAAAGGAACAGAGAGATGGGGGAAGGGATGAAGAGATGGGACCAAGGCGGTGAGCCCCAGCCCCAGCCCCCGCCCCAGCCCCCGCCCCAGCTCAGGGTGTCTGAGGCTGGCCCTTACTACAAACATCCGCCCCACAGTCTATACGGCGCCTGATGGAGGCTGAGAAGGTGAAGGGCTTCTGCCAAGTGGTGATCTCCTCTAACCTTCGTGATGGTGTGTCCCACCTGATCCAGTCTGGGGGCCTTGGTGGGCTGCAACACAACACTGTGCTGGTGGGCTGGCCTCGCAACTGGAGGCAGAAGGAGGATCACCAGACATGGAGGAACTTCATCGGTACTGTCGCTGTGGGATCGGGGTGAAGGGCTGGACGGGCTGCTTTGCTTCTGAGGGTTTCCTGAGCACAGGCAGGTGATGCCACGCCGGCTTCTATGTCAGGTCCCGGGAGGAAGACGGACAAGGCAAGGCAGGGCAGCGTGACAGCTGCAGCTTCAGAGTCACTGTGTTCAGGGTCTGTGTCTCAGCTCTGGTCTGTGCCAGGCAAGTTGAGACTTTCTCTAATGCTCTCATGTCCCTGAGCACTGGGCACTGTCACCTGCATGTTGGTGTGGGACTGAGACATAGAGGCAGTGAGGAATTTACCTGGGCCACACAGCAAGCCTGGGAATTCATGTTTGAAGCAGCAGAGGCCACTTACAGTAGGTTTTTTCCCCTCCATTTTTCAAGAGAGGGTCTCCCTGGAACTTCCTCTGCAGACCAGGCTGGCCTCAAATTCACAGAGATTTATCTGCCTGTCTCACCCTCCCAAGTGCTGGGACTAAAGGCATGCACTACAACTGCCTGGCTTCTGATGGGTTCTTTTTTTGTAATTTATTTTATTTTTATTTGATGTGCGTTGATGTTTTTCCCGCATATATGTCTGTGTGATGGTATCAGATCTTGGAGTTACAGACAGGTGTGAGCTGGGATGCTGGGAATTGAACCTGGGGCCTTTGGGAGAGCAGCCAGTGCTCTTGACCACTGGACCATCTCCCCAGCCCTCCATGGCTTCTTAATAATCAGTAGAGGCGTAGGCTGGGGAGGGGCTCAGTTGGTAAAGTGCTGACCATGAAATCGTGAAGACCAGAGTTTGATACTGGAACCCAGAGGTCTCTGGTGTTGGGGAGGCAGAGACAGGAGACTCCCTGAGATTCAGCTGCCTGCCAATCTAGCCTACTCTATGAGCTCTGGACCAGTCAGGTTAGGTAGAGTCCTGTCTCAAGCAAGCAGACATACAGACAGACATACAGACAGACAGCAGCAAAGACAAATGAAAACCCCCACCAAGCTAGATGGCTCTTGAGGAACAGGGAGGGATGCCTGAGGCTGATGTCTATACTCCTTACACTATACAAGTGTGCCCACATGAACATGCATAAGAGAGAAAAGCACAGGGGCATTATTGGCCATTTAACAGGTGGGGAATTTAGCAGGACCAGGAGATTGAAGTGCTTTCTTACAGCCAAACAGCCAGTAGACAATGAAGCCCAGGTAGATGCTGGCATCCTGATTACCAGACTCCAAGGTCAAGGTTGGATGGAGTGTGGCGGGTTCTGGGTGCCAGGAGTCCTTGTAGCTTCCCTGGGTATCAGAAGGATTGGTCACTATTGCCCTCTGGTCCTTTCTTTTTTGGCCTTTCCAAGAACTGGTCCGGGAAACCACAGCTGGCCACCTGGCCCTGCTAGTCACCAAGAATGTTTCCATGTTTCCTGGGAACCCCGAGCGCTTCTCCGAGGGCAGCATTGATGTGTGGTGGATTGTGCATGATGGGGGCATGCTCATGCTGCTGCCCTTCCTGCTGCGTCATCACAAGGTCTGTGTGCATGCCTGTCTGTGGCGTGGGGAGACCGTGTGCACACGCGGGCACATCCGTGGGGAAGCTCAGGGCTCTGGCCAGCCTCCATGCTTGCCCTTCCCGGGGGTCTGATCATCGTCTCCCTTATCAGGGGTGTGGGAACTGATGTGCCCCCCCCCCCACAAGCACACTGCTACAAAGGAGAGGGGATGTTTAATACAGGGAAATGGTACCTTAGTGGAGGCACCTCAGACCTGAGCAGGCAGATGAGTCTGCAGGTGAAGTCTTGGTGTGAGGAGCCTGTGGGAAGGGTGAGAGGTGGGCACTTTGGCCATGGGTCTTCTCACAGCCTCTGGCTGGACCCGCCTGGATTGCCTTTGATCCTTGCAGGTCTGGAGGAAATGTAAGATGCGGATCTTCACTGTGGCCCAGATGGACGACAACAGCATCCAGATGAAGAAAGACCTGACTACGTTTCTGTACCATTTACGCATTACTGCAGAGGTGGAGGTGGTGGAGATGGTGAGTCCCCAAAAGCCCCGGAAGTTCTCAAAGCCCCACCTGTGGCTCTTTCCTATTGGTCTCAGCAGCAGTCAGGGCTCCTCCAATCCCCATCAGTTTGCCTTCCTGTGACCACCCCTTAGCCTCTCACGTCTCATCCAAGAGTTCACACAGCTAGCCTCTCCGAGGAGCTGCCATGCTCAAGAGTGCTCACTCTACGACACACTGCTGTCCCACACACTTGGCAAGTAGGAACTTCGGTGGCCTCCACTGAGATACTCATTAGACAGTTGCATTCCCAACTAGACTATTGAGACACAAATGTTTAGTGACTGACTGTGCAGTACAGTGAGTGGCTGAGTCAGAACTCAAACCCATGCAGGCCACTCACTGCCTGGCCTGCTCCTGGTGGGTATGCTGTCCAGCTCCTGTCTCTCTACATCCTCAGTGTGTCCATGGCTCCTGCTGTGTTCACTAACCTACCCATGTAGCCTTTCACGGCTTACCCCATTCACCTAGGTACGTGCTCATTCAGCTCTTGTTCTTGTCACAAATTTCTTCCTCTTCTTCTTTCACTCAGGTAACTAAGCAATCAACTCACCCATCACTTCATTTACATCCTTGGTTCTGTGTTGGCTGCACAGGGAGCTAGCTGCCTGCTTTCCCAGGCCATGGCCCTGTGTGTGTAGTCCCTGCTTCCTACAATCTGGGTGCTAGGGTGTGTGATAGGAAGGTGCAGGCTGGAGGGAGGGAGGGCCCGTGCCTCCCACCTTGGCCTTCCTGAGTTCCAAGCCCTTGTGCTCCTCCCTGACCACAGCATGAGAGTGATATCTCGGCATACACCTATGAGAAGACGTTGGTGATGGAGCAACGCTCTCAGATCCTCAAACAAATGCACCTAACCAAGAATGAGCGGGAGCGGGAGGTAAGCCTCCCCCCCATCCCCGGGCTCTCAAGAGCAACAAGCTGCTTCAGAATGTGGGGTCTTACAGGTGTGGGGGGCTCTGGTCTGACGTCCCTGGCCACCAGCACCACTCTCTTCACCTTAGTTACCTTATTTGCCATTCCCTCCTGACACCCAGCTCCCCTGAGCTGGCCACTGCATTTCCGAACCCCCTCAGAGGAACTTTGGCATCCAGACAGACTTTCTCCTCTGTAGGAGACTTGTAGGCCTGAGGGAGAACAGTGGATGCTAAATATGTGTGGATGGCGAGTTCTCAGGGGGGTGTGGGCTGTCAGTGTGGAGGAGGCAAGGGTTCAGAGTGGGTAACAGATGTATATTTAAAGACATAGATGCTGGGTAGGAGTCAGGGGCGAGCCTCCTAGGGTATGAGTGAAAGGCTTTCAGGAGTAGTGCTGCTGAGCACCCCATGGGGGAGAGCTCTTAGGTTTCAGTCCCTGGTTTTCTGGAGTATGGATAAAAGACCCTCGCCAGGGAGGGGAGCCCCCGGGGGAAGTGAGGGATGCTACCCAGGGCTGTGGACAGAGGAGCGCCTAGAAGTGGGAGTTAGGTTGTTTGGGGAGGTCCTGTAGGCAGGGGTGAAGAGCTGTAATTGTGGGCCTCCCAGGTGAAGAGAATCTGTTTTTCAGAATGAGGCTGATAGGTGTTCAGGGAAGTGAGCGATGGGCTCTTGAAGAATGGGGGTGTCATCCAGGCTGACAGTGGAAGTGATAAGAAATGGCATGTGCTGGGCAATCAGAGTGACATGGGACCATAGTGCTAGGCTCCAGCCTTGCTGTGCCAGGTGTTAGCCTGCTGGTGTTGATGGCAGGAAGGTCTGAGCTCTGGAGATGAGAGGCCAGGTCAGCAATGTAATAGGTGTTTGGTCTGGAGGCACTCTACTATTTTCACAATGTGTGCCACTCGGGAATGTGTGTAACCTGGATGAGCACCAGCTGTAGTAATGGCTCTTGGCAGGGCGTGGGTGGTGACCCCCGGCAGAGCTGGCATCAACCTGTGTCACTCCCTAGATCCAGAGCATCACAGATGAGTCTCGGGGCTCCATTCGGAGGAAGAATCCAGCCAACACTCGGCTCCGCCTCAATGTTCCTGAAGAGACAGCTGGTGACGGTGAGGAGAAGCCAGAAGAGGAGGTGAGTGGCTGTTGTGGTGTGGCTCTGGCAAGTGGGAGCAGAATCTTTAGCTTCCAAAAGAGTCACCTGCTGAACACTTACTCCTCCTCCAGGTGCAGCTGATCCACGACCAGAATGCCCCCAGCTGCCCCAGCAGCTCGCCATCTCCAGGGGAGGAGCCTGAGGGGGAGGGGGAGACAGACCCAGAGAAGGTGCATCTTACCTGGACCAAGGACAAGTCAGCGGCAGAGAAGAACAAAGGCCCCAGTCCTGTCTCCTCCGAGGGCATCAAGGACTTCTTCAGCATGAAGCCGTATGGGCCTGGGGGCTGAGGCTAGGGGTGGGGTGGGCCGAAGGGTCTTGTTGAGTGTGGCAGAAAAAGCAAGCAGGAAGGTCCTCCTCTGGCAGTTTGATGATCCAGGGCACGACTTGCCTTGGTTTCCCCAGATAGAGACTTACATGGCTGGGCTAGATTGTTAAGGGTCAGAACCAACTCGCAAGCGCAGGTGTTGACAAAGAGAAGGTGGTGGGGGCTGTGAGAGTGAGGACACGCTCACCCAGGGCAGATGACAGTTGGCTCAGCTCAGCGGCAGCCGCCTTTTCCTGACCCCTCTCTTTTTCTTTCTCTCTTTGCTTCTCTTTGTTTCCTGAAGGGAATGGGAAAACTTGTAAGTGCGCCACTATTTTTCCATCTTCTCTCCTAGGTTTCTAGGGTCCCTACTCCATGGAACCCCCGAGGGGTGTCCCTGGCCTCTGGGGCCTTTAAATGGCCCAGCTTGGAGAGATCTGGGGTTGAGGGAGGCCCCAGGCTGGCAAGCACCAGGCGGGGCAGCCCAACTCAGGCTGGGACGGTGACCAGACTTAGTTCTTCCTGGCTTGAGCTAACGCCCCTTGCCTCCTCTTTTTCTGCAGGAACCAGTCCAACGTGAGGCGCATGCACACGGCCGTGCGGCTGAACGAGGTCATCGTGAATAAATCCCGGGATGCCAAGTTGGTTTTGCTCAACATGCCTGGGCCTCCCCGCAACCGCAATGGTGATGAAAACTGTATCCTGGACTTTAGTTAGGGGGAAGAGGGAGGTTGTTGGCAAAGTACATGTGTCCTCTAGCCTGGGATGCAAACAGCAGAGCAGGATCCGCACTGGACAGGGACGCGGGCTCTGGGAAGGCGCAGGCTCTGTCTCCTTGACCAGCTCTCAGACATGGAGTTCCTGGAGGTGCTCACTGAGCAACTGGACCGGGTGATGCTGGTCCGCGGTGGCGGCCGCGAGGTCATC